ACAGCAAGATGAGAGAGACGACGTTGGTAAATAACTGTGTGAATTGCATAATTAAGTTGAAAAATGATCCCAAAAAAAAGAAACTTTTATTCCATCTCAATTTTTCGTGACGGCTTGTGAGAGAATCAAGAGAGAGAAACCGACATAAAGTCATGATTGGTTGAAGCGCATTCAGTGATTCTTAATAGGCGTGGCGTCGACTTCTCTCATTTTGATAATGGAAATAAAATGCCATGGAAATTCTACATTCTCATTCTACAGTCTGCTTCCGTTCATATCATAATGGCAAGTGTACAAACAAAAAAAAATGCTCAACAAATTTCTATAGCCAATTTGCACAAAGATTTCTCCTTGATATGCTAGAAAAACATCCTATAGCAACACCTAGGAGCTAGCAGAAAACTGTGACACTGTATGTGGATCAATTTTCCATTTAAATGCTCTGTAGTTGTATGCTGAATATTTTTTTTTCTTTCTTCTCTGTGTTAAATTGGTATAAATAAAACGATTTTCCGCAACAACTTTTAAGTGCTCACAAAATACTTTCATGCTGCTGCTTTTTTTTTTTTGGGTAGGAAGAGATTTATTTTTCTTATTTCTGGGTGAGTGTGAATGGAGTGGGAAACAGAAATGAAATGAAAAAGGAACAATACGAGTGAGAGGATTGTGGATTTGTTGTACAACAAATAATTAAAATAATCATAAATACCCACAATGGAATTTTTATGAGTTTCAACTTTAAATGAGCGAAATGGAATGCTTAATTTTATCAGCGAGTTCTCTTGTGGATGGAATTTTGAGAATATATTTGGCAAAATGAGCTGAAAATTGAGAATTTTGATTTTTTTTGGTAAATTAATCAGAGGTGGACGAAGGATTTTGGCGCCTGGTTATTAATTATGAGATTTTCTAGTATGTTGTCTATTCAGTTCTTAAAAATTATAAAATTATTTTTAAAAACGTGAGTCTTACAACTAATAGAACACAATGTCATCAAGCATTATTGAACTGAAATGACTCGGTGTCGTAATGGACAAAAGTATTGGGCAATTCTCCAGATAAGTTTTTCAAAAAATCATCCGGAGAATCAAATTTTCTCGGAAATTTTCCATTACCAAGCATAACTTTTACATTTAAATCGATCTAAAATGGCAAAAACTATTACATTTTATCTATTTAAGTCTTTGAAAGTAGCCAATAATTAAGTTTTTTCAATTTTTTTTGCAAATTACTGTCAGCAAAAAATGGAATTATCATCCGGAGAATCGAAAATTGAAGAAAAGTAAACACTCATTTTTTATTATGATTATGCAGAAATGTAGTTTTTGAGCTAATCTATCTAACCATAATCATATCACACTCCAATAATTACTATTTAAAGAGAATTTTTGATTCTTCGGTGGATTTTTTTGCTGACAGTAAAAAAATTAAGCTTTTATTTTGCAAATCCATGAAAAAAATGCAAAGCAAATATTTCATAAAAATTAAATTTTAGGATTAATTTAACACTTCATGGTTGAATTATTGTTGATTCAGTAAGAATCAATCATAATAAACAGTTTAAAGTTTCTTTAAGCAATCAAAACAAAGAAATTGACAAGATATTAACAGAAAAAAAATTGAAAGTAAACAGTAAATGACTTTGGATTATAAAAGCTCTTTTTTCAAAAACTCAACTCATCTGGAGAATTGCCCTATTACTACTTAAAAATTGTCATCTCATGTTAGCAATCCTAGGTTCGAAACTCAGCAGAATCAACGTTTCCTTTTTCGGATTAAATTAACTGGAATGGCAGACTCCATACGAAATTTCATCGACTTCGAGCTCTGGACTCTAGCATTGAACCAAGGGTGCGGTACTGTATAAAATGGTCAAGAATTATCAAAATGTAATTAATCAGTTCCGCATCCTTGAATTGAACTGGCACATGGCAATGTGATCGAACGAAATTTATGCTACCCTGATAAAATGCTGGCTCCACGATATGGTCTGTCAGCTTAATAGTCCCTAAATTGAAAGCTTATGATAAACCAATTTATAAGGTTGCATGTTCTCGTGCAACTCCTAAACCATCCACCCCCCCCCCCCCCCCCCTCTAATCTTAATACTTCAATAACAGCCAATTTCTTAGAGAGGAGGTTTAGATTTTCTAGGGATCCTCAGAATACCCAACTCTATTCATATTGAATTTTTATTTTAACTCCAGAAGCTACTGCCTCTGTACCGAGATTTTATTGCCTTAAATTCAACCTTAAATCCAAAATATCACAATAATACGATCTAAAAGCAATAAAATGTTTTTTTATATGCCCGGCAGGCACTTGCATTCTATAAAATATTCAAATAAAAGAATTATTTGTCAAAACATTCAAGGTCATGCCATGCGTCCCTCAAAAATAAAATGTTTCTTTTGTATTCACACATCCTAGGCTCATTCAAATGTCATGAACAAATTAACTTTACGATTTCAAAAAAAAAATAAAAAAACTAAGAATAATAAAAGTTATGAAAATGAGCTTCAAACGAATGATATTTTAAATGACTATAAAGCTTCACATCATTAAAATTATTTTGCAACGCAGAACGCTTCAAGAAAAATTATAATTATTGTTTAATTAGCAGAAAGTTTTCTCATTAGAAAGCGCGCAGGGCGAGAAGCGCTAATTAACCGCAAAATATTCTTTCTTTTATTTTTCATAAAAAAAAAATATTTTAATTGAATAAAAAAAAAAGATGTGAGAGTAATGCTGTCTGTCTGTGGAAGTAAGAAGCAATTTAGGGATGAAATTTCAGACTGTAAAAAAGTTTTTTTTTGTGTGTGGATGAAAAAAGTATTTTAATTGCCACAATTTATGTGATGTTCAATTTATAAAGTTAGTCTCTGTTTTCATACAATTTATTTTTTCACAAATGGATGCGGTGAGTGCTCAAGTTTCAGGGGTGTGGAGCCAAGAACTAGTTAAGATCTTGTCATGAGAAATTGACAAAAGCGCATGTGAAAAATAACGGATAAAAACTATTTCAAAATTAACGGTTAATATTTTTTTAAAAATTATCGGTCTAAAGATATTTGAATTTGAGGAAAAACTAAGCGAAAAACTGACAGACGGATAGAAAAAAACAGATTTTTTCAGTTGAACGAGCTAAAATTTCAAAAAGACTCAGTGCATAAAATTTTCCATCCCTGCCGATGACGAGGAGAATTTCTCATTTTTCATTCAAGAACCAACACTCAGAAAAATGAAAATTTGTATGCACAAACAGCATAAACGAGGAGAATCTAGAAGCGCAAAATGCTAATACATGAAACCATTAAGCACCAATTTTCTCATTCACATGACGTTCTCCGTATCTATAGTTGCTTCATAATCTCACACACACATACACTCAGCTGCTCCACTTTTTCACTCCTTTTTCACACAACATTTAATGGCAACAAATCTGTAATTGCTTCAAGTAATTGCTGTGTTATTTAAAAATATACACTCGAGCTTCCTTTGCCTTCCTACCTCTCTCCATATCTCATTCTTTTTTGCAACTCTTATTCCATGTCCGAGAAAATGTTTTCCTCAATGGAGGGGATGCGCACAAAAGAAACTCCCAGCACTAAGGCGGTGCCAATGCAATTTTCATCAAACATTATTTTTATTCTTTTCAAGAGAGAGAGACGGAAAAATTGAGAGAAAAATTCCACTTGCATCTTCCTCACACACAACATAAAAAATTGGCTCCTGCATATATACATCTGGCATCTGACTCTAGACTCTTTTACTTTACGATATGTGCTGTATGATGTGATGTGATTCACACAACAAGAGAAAAGGAAAAGAGGGTGATGAAAAAAAAAATTTAAAGAGCACACACCATTTAGGAGAAAACATGAAGCATAATTTGTTATTCTTTTCCTCATCGTCGTGTTGATCGGGGAGAAAATGTGTGTCTGATTATTAGTCTTTATTCGGATACTGATGAAGATTGTTGGAATTAAATTATTTTCCCGCAGGTTCAAAACTTTTAAGTGTTGTCGTGAAATAAAATTGTAAAAAAAATTATTTTGACTTTTTTTCATTTTTTTCTAAGTTTAAAAAAAATATCAAAAATTTTTCTCAAAAAGTGAAAAAATAAAATTTTAAAAAATTCAAAGAAAATAAATAAAACATATTAAAGATTTTAAGCCGTCGCGTGACAAGTGTTTTACATTAACAAGAAACAAAAATATTCTTTTTGAGGATTAAGTATTTTCAAATGGAATTAAAAAAGTGAATATTTGTGTTTTCAAATGCTTTTATTGAATCTGACAGACTTGTTGTGATTTAAATTAAAATTTTGGTGGCAAAAGAAAAAGTGTAAAGAAGGAAAATTAAAATTTTTGGAAAAAGTGAAACTTTGCAGCGGGACAAAATTTATTTTGATACTTTTAAATCATCAGAAGCCGTAAACAATTCTAAATAACGAACTAAAGCAAGAATTTAAGCTTAATTAAAAGAAATAAAGTGAAGATAATATTTTAAATTATTAGTGAAAGTTTAAAAATTAAACCTTACTCCCTTCGTTGGACAAATAACTGTTAAAGCTATTAAACTTTTAGAAATTGACCAAATGAGCTGATTTAAAGTGATTTCTTTAATTATTAATGCAACAATACACGCGGAAGTTCAACTAAATGAACCTTAAAACTACTAAAATTACAATAATTTAATTTTGTTTAACAACGAATTAAAAATCAAAAGAACACTTAAAAATCCAAGTTCAGATTGACCGATAATTCATTCTAGTGTGGAAGTTCAACATTCAGAAACAATAAATTGCAAAAAAGTCAAAAACATATTCAAAGAATTTAAGTTTTGAAAAGAAACTTTTAAAAATTACGAAATCTCTCAATTTTTGAAATTTTAAACATTAATTTTGAGGTTAAAAATTAATTTTGAGGTTAGAAATTTCTAAACTTGAAGACAACAACTTTAAAAAATTTGAGATTAAAATCTTGGCAATAAGAAACTTCAATTTAAAGTTTAAACACTTAAGTCTAAATTGTTTGGAGTGTCTTAAAAAATAGAACCAATCTGACGAGTCATAACTTCAAACTAAGTCCAAAGCTGATCAAAAAACCAAATTTTAAAACCATCAAGAATCCCAAAAAACAATGAAATTTTAAAAAACATTAAAAATTACAAAACTCAAAAATAATGGTTATGATGCAATCTCCATCACTTTCCGATTCTGGTCGACCAGAAAGCCCTTCATCAAATCCAGAATCACCAACAAACAACAACAACAATGTCAACAAACTCGATCAAAACTCACCGAAAATAAATCGCTACGACGATGACTCAATAAAAGATATAAAGCCAAAATTTAGTGTCTTGACAGCAATTAACAAGGAAAATTCATCCACAACAATCAGTCGCAATAATAATTTAGATCAAATTTTATATCCAAAGCCAACAGATCGTGATTTATTAGAGCCTAGTGCGAAATTCTCAATAGAACGTCTCAAGCAATTGGCAGATCAGCGACTGAGTCCATCGAATATCGAAAACAGTAGCCTCTCAAACAATAAAATCTTTTCAATTGATCACAGTGCAAAATATCAAAATAATGGCAATGGATTGATGTCAAATTTATCAGGATTACCGCTTAATGTTGACACAAATAATCAGCATCTGGTTCCGGTTTCGACGGTGTTTACAAACCATCCGACACCTCATCATTTGAATATCCTTAGCCACAATAGTCATTTAAAGTACGGATTGCTCCCGACCGTCGCTAATGGTAATGTTATTGTCAGCGGTTTACCGAGCAATAACAATAATGCAACGGAATTAGACATCGAACGAATAAAATTAGCACGAACACTTAATAATGGTAAAGAGTTATCAGATTTTGGATTTCGCATTCAACTTGGCGGTCTGACGACAAATTATCCGCACAGTGAAACACACAGCGATAGCGAGGAATTGAATGTTGATGGTAATGAGGATAGTTCACAGGATGAACATTCGGTGAGTTTTCTAATTAATTCACGGATGAATTATTACACACACTTATATACATGCACACATGTCCTGTCCCTTTTCACATTATCGTATAGCCGATTTAACAACCTTTTGCCTTGATTTTGTGAAATTTTAATTGCTCCCCATTTATCCCACATGTGACTATCTGAATAGCTGGATGACAGGCATTCAGATAAAGACCCTTTTCAAATTGAGAGTGATAAAGGCTGATGGTTGGGTGGGCCAGTAGACTAAATTGAATAGATTTGTGGGTGTTTATGTAGAGAGATAGACTGACGGACGGAGATGATGATGTACAGCATGACATTAAAAAACACAAGCCGCGTAATGTGTAATGATGCATATCCGTAATAACGCACAGCTGTAATGACGCACAGCCCTAATGACGCACAGCTGTAATGACGCACAGCCTTAAGAGCTTACATACTAAAAGACAGATAAAAGAACTTCGAACATGACATTTTTCACTCAGACAGATGGATTAAATCATATTAATACCAAACCTTTGCGGAACTCTCACATAAGCCTATTGGCACACTCTTCAATCATCTCGATCTTATATCCCAAACTTTCCACATTAATAAAAAATATCTGTTGTCACATTTGTTCTATATATCTTCTCTCTTTCATTACATATAAACATAAACAGACATGTCCAGTGGATTTAACACGCTCAATGGATTCAAAACCGAGTATTGATAGTAGTGAAAAGGAGACACCAAAGAGATTGGCATTTTCTGTCGAAAACATATTAGATCCAAATAAGTTTACTGGTAGGAGGCATTATGGACATAGTATGAATGGATTAAGGATGTGGAATAGCATTGATAGGGATGAGAAAACTGACGATGATCATAGTGATGGGCACTCGAGTAAGTATTTTGATTTTTTTTTAATTCAGAAAATAACGGTGTATTGAAATTTGAAAATTAACGATTATGTAAAATTTCAAATTTCAAGACTTTGAAAATTTTGAAATTTAACGGATTTTTAAGATTTGAAACATTAAAGTTTTATTTTTAATGGTTTAAAAATCAAGTCTGAACACAAAAGGTAATAAGAAATTCATAAAATCTAATATAAACAAATTAATAACGTAAATGAACCATGCAAAATCAAATTACATTCAATAAGAAAACTACCTCCTTGTTCCGCCTTATAAAGCACTAGATTAGCAACCAACTAAGTGTAAATAAAGCAGTCATGACGATGATGATGATGATGATGTTTAATAACTGCTAATTATTTCAACATGAATTTCATTTATACAGCCACTTAATTGGGGGAAAACCGAGCTTATACATTCAAAAAAAAATATATTTTCCACCACCCTTTCTGGGGTGGCATTCCGTTTTATTAAAAATAATCTCAAACCAGTGCTTTTGAATTTTCAATATGGCATAGAAATAGCATAACAACTCCTCTCGTATCATAACAACAAGTCTATGAAAATGAAACCATTGTATCATAGCATTTTGAGCTCATGGAGGCTCATTTCTCATTCCAACTCCAATGGAGTATGCACAAATACATTTAAATTAGATGTGTATGTACGTACCAGCAGAAATTATGCTCATAAAAGAGAGATTACTCTTCAAGAACAGCGGATACTTTATTTAAGTTGATAATGAACGCTTTAAATATTTTAACGGACTTTAAAAATTCAAGCTTTAACGGAATTTTAAATCCAAATTGTAGCGGATCTTTGAAATTCAAATTTTAACAGACTTTTAAAATTTAAAGTGTAACGGATTTTTGAAATTCAAACTTTAACGTCTTTTTTAAGTTCAAATTGTAACGGATCTTTGAAATTCAAATTGTAACCAGACATTTTAAATTCAAATTGTAACGAATTTTTGAAATTCAAATTTTAAAAGAACAACTTTAAAAATTCAAATTTTGAATCAAATAGAAATTTTAGAAATTAAAATGTTTATTCTGCATTAAAGAATATTAAATTTAAAATTTTAAATTATTCCTAGTAATGAATACAAGTAAAGTCTCTCTAAAAAATAAAAGTTAAGATTAATTTTAATCCCATTAAATCACAAAACAAACAAACAATAAAAACTATAAAATTAATTATTGTCAGAGATTATGGCGTAGTTACGTTGCTTATAAAAATATTTATGCTCCAAAAAGTTTTCCACTCGATGCTGAAGAGGGGAATAGAAAGAGAAAGAGATAATAGGGTGCCTTAGTAAGAAAGAGAACAAGAAAATGTTTTAAAATCCTTTTCATTCATTGCCACAAACACTCTAGTCATTATGAATGTGTGTTGAATCATAATTTGTGAAAATATTTTCATTTAATTTTCGCTTCCATTTTAACATTATTTGCCTTCCAAATTGCTGTTTTATGTATTCATCTATGACTGCTTCTACCTCATTATGAGATGGAATATGAGCATGAATCGATGGAGTGGGTTGAAGGAAAAATGAGACGAAAAACTTTTTTTTTTCATATTCAAGAAACTTTTAATGACTCAATTTTAATGATTTTGTTGATGATGGCAATAATATTGTTGTACAACGAGAAATCATACAATCAAAAGCCCATGAGCTATAGGAGTTGAACCCTACCGCAAAATTTTTCGGGTGACAAATGATTTTACGCCGATTAATTAGCAAGATTGTTAATTACCGCATGGTATTTTTAAGGGTACATTGCCTCCACACTCTTTCTCTTCATAATGGCTGAGCAACAACGCGGAAAAAAGTTTTGTTGGGGATTTACTGAAAATGATACAATAATATTTATTGTCGCTTTCAAACTTTATGTATACATTAGTATGGGGCTCGGATTGTTAAACTCAGTTGTTATTCTGTTTGAATTATGTTTTTGAGATAATTTTCATTAGCAAATGGATTTTTTTTTTGAGGGGGAAAAATTCTTTTATTTTGAAATATTATTAAGTTTCTTAGATTGTTGATTAATATCAGCATCTCCTGCATTTCCTTCAATCAAACAACATTTTAAAAATAAACTCCCGCCATTTTCTTGTTTACAACAAATTTGAAAACTTAAAATGACAAAATTGGTCTTCAGAGACTGATTTAATATGAAATTTTGATCTTAATAGCTTTGCTCACATAAAATGAATTCTTTTAATCGTTTTAAATACTGTAAATCTTCTCAATTAAGCGAAATTTAAACAAAGAAATCTTCAAGTGAAAAAAAATTCCCGCCATTTTATTTAAAGCTCAATTAGTGTCAAAGATGATGTTTTTGCGACAAATGAATTTTTTTAAACAAATTAAGCTGCACTAACTGCAATATCATATCTGTATAAACTCAAAAGACAGAAAGCAACAGAACAAAATAGCCCAAATCAGACTTCCATCAATACTTAATTAACATTCGAAAGCTCATTTCGCAAGAAATATTAATTAATCTTACAAAACTCGAAGGCACTCAGTCGACGAGAACAAATTTATTTTCATAATTTAAATTATAATGTTTATGCAAATGAATTAATGGGAGATAATTTGGAGAAAATTACTCTTACATTAATTATGCAAATTTTATGGTAAACATTCAACCCATTAAATTCTTCATTGCTTATTGTTCGTTGCCATAGTAACGAGGCTGTGATGTTGATGATGATGATGCTTATGTTGATGAAAATAATTCATGCGTTATTACGACAGCATCCAATTTTCCCTTAGTTCTGCTGTAATTTCATAATAATCCAATCGAAATCCTTGTTTACAGTTTGAAGATTTTTGAAGAAAATTTTCTCTGACCTTTTTTTGAAGATTTCTTTGAAACTTTTTAAAAACATTAAATCCTTCCTGTAAATCTCTTTTTACATGGAATCGAGGTCCATTTAAATAACTGTGTCATGATTTCCCACTCCAATCTTTAAAAAACCTTTTTCTATTTCAATCAATTTACTTCAAACTCTTTACAACAGAGAAAATAAAAAGTTTTTAAATCTCGAGCAATGTAAAAAGCTGTTAAAGAAGTAAATCGATTTTCACTTTTGTTTTATCTTCTCTCAATTTTTTTTTGTCTGAATTTAACACGAGTGAGAATTTAAATGAAATAAAAAGGGGTGACTTTATTTTTTGTCAATCTTCAAAAGAAAGATTTGGTTTGGGTGGAGGTTTAAAGTGTTTGTGGCAGAGTTGGAATTTGGAGCGAATAAGCTGGCTAGGAGGTGTAGCTAGGGAATGGTGTTTAAGCATGCACCTACACCTAAGTCGTTAGATAAACAACAGCCCTCGGATAAACACAAGGGTATACATTACGGGTAGGTGTAGGTGCAACTGTATACAGAAAATATCTATTTTAAGTTCTAAAGCAGTGCTGTCCAAAGTTTTTGAGCCACCATACACTTTAGGGGTAAGCCTTGACCAAAGTCGCACAGAGCATGTGGCTTTCGTTATTCCCAAAAGTTTTCTACGGCACACCAGTGTGCCGCGGTACACAGTTTGGACAACACTGTTCTAAAGGGTTTGAGGGTTGTTTAGAGCATGACAATTTATTCAGAAAGCAACAAATTGTCAAATGAACATCAATCAAAATAGGACAAAACCTTCAGTGGAGTCAAAGATATGGGTTCGAATCCTTAATCGACCAGACTAGATTCAATAATATTTCGAGGGTTGTAATTAGAGAGATAATTGAATTTTATAACCTAAAAATTATCTTCTAATTGTTAATTTACTTCCTTAACTGGGGCGAACGGGAGCCCATTGCTGCATTCAGAAATTGTCTAAAGACAGCTTTATCCTTCAAGACTTTCTGCCAGTTCGGGATATTAAGGAATCTAGCGCTCTTAAAACTCATCCAATCCAGGTATTCTTTGGTCTTCCTCTAGATCTCTTGCCATCAATAAAATTTGCAACTATTGCTTTAACTACTAATAGAATTCTCAGTAAAAAGTCTCAAAGCATACCTTTAAATCCACAGCACCATAACTACGCATTAAATTATTACCAAACTTCCCATTTTCATTCAATTCATAAAAGTTTTTCCATCGCACAGAGCAACAGCAGAAAAAAATAAACTTCCCCAAAAGCAAGTAACTTAAGAATAGTAACAAAAAAAAATTCCAATTTGTCATCTCAAAAGCTGATTAAATATTTGAATCCGATACTCGGTAGTTTCCATTGATGGGAAGTAAAAAGGTAAAATCGATTCAGAAATAGAAAAAAAAAATCAAATCAAACCAGAGAGTATATCGATATCGAAGTAAAGGAAGGGAATGAAAGAGATTAGAATCGTTTGGTTGTAAACATGTTTATACACGCAAAATGATGTATTTTACAGGGGAGCATGAGAAAATTGATATTTGGACACTTGTTCGTGGTTTGACACTGAACAACAAATTGCAATTTGATTCAATTCAAGAATTTTCCACTTTTCCTCCCTTTCACGTTCAACAATAGCGCCATGTATCGATTTCATGTATTATTTTACTCACTATGTGTGTCTACATTCTCAGTATTCGACGGTTTGTGGGGGGATGACTCGACATGTGCAAAATTGTGTAACCGGAATAATGAATGCATTTTCACTCTACATTAATGCCATGGCGATATAATTAAATTGTAACATTTTATTAGTATTGTGTAATCGGATAATTTGTGGGCTATTGATGTGGCACAATAGTCGATCAATAAATGGAGCTGAATGGCTGGTAATTAATTGAATATCCTAATGGAGAGTAAAGTGATGCAAATATTTAATTTTTTTTGCTCTTTGCTAATTGAACGGGTAGGAAAAATGAGAGAAAAGTTTTTGAGTTCGCTTTTTATCGACTTGCAAATGTGTTGGTGCAGTACATTGACTCGGTACTCGAGATTTGCGCATAGAAACAAAAAAAAAATAATTTTTTTTGCTTGCTGCTCCGTCATTCTCCATTTTGTCTCATAGACAAGAATCTCAATTTGTTCATGTGTGCTCTTCAATCGATAATTTTGTTTGAATGAGATAAAAAAAATTGAAGGTCTACAGAAAATGCTGCAGGATGATTGGGAAATTCTGAGAAAATTGGGATGAAAATGGTGCATTTGGATCATATGATGAAAATTAAGATTGTGTTCAGTGATTTAAAGAAATAAACTGATTTGAAACCTTTTTAAAGTACATTTGTTTCATATAGCTTGCTTTCAAATTTTGAAAAAAACCGTTAAATTATAAATTTCTTTTTTCAAAAAGTCAGAAAAATTTTGAATTTTAAATACCCGTTAAAATTTAAATATTTAAATTTACAAAAACCTTTAATGTTCAAATTATTTAAATCCGTAAAAAAATTTATGTTTAAAAATTTATAAAAATCGTTAAAAGTTCAAATTTTGACTAACCGTTAAATATTTTAAATTTACAATAACCGTTAAAAATTCAAATAATAAAAATCCGGTATTTTTATAAATTTAAATAACTTCAAAATACAAATTACAAATTTTATTTACAGCCAAAGATCTAAACGACATAGACCCAGATGACATGTGTGACGACACAATGGGTAGTGATATGGAAGGAAGTGACACAGATTCAAAAATGAGTGACTCGAAAAAGAATGGAGATGGAAAGTCACAAGGAAATAACTCAAAACCTCGACGGTAAGTCATAACATTTCTCTACTAAGTCATTCAATGTGAAAATTAAAATGATATTATTTCTTGGCAGAGCTAGAACCGCATTTACATATGAACAACTGGTATCACTAGAAAATAAGTTCAAAACTACACGATATCTGTCTGTGTGTGAGCGACTGAATTTAGCGCTAAGCCTTAGTCTGACTGAAACACAAGTGAAAATATGGTAAACAGTTCTGTTTTTATGTCGTCAAATTAGCTTGTTAACATTCCATTTTATTTGTCTCGGTACTTTATCGTCTCTAGGTTCCAAAACAGACGTACTAAATGTAAGTATTTATACAGCCTTTATATCTGTGAATAATTTTGACTCAAAGCTTATTCTGTTCTACAAATAGGGAAGAAACAAAATCCAGGAATGGATGTAAACAGTCCAACAGTTCCACCACCATCAAACGCAGGTGCATTTGGTCCAGGATATGCAAGCAGTTTACTATATCCACATGCAGTTCCTTATCCACCATATGGAGCATATTTTCATCCATTAAACAGCCATGCTCATCATATTGGACACTCGCACACATAATAACAACTACATCATCACCATCATCATGCACCTCCTCATAAGAAAGAGAAAAGTGAGAAGGATCAGTGAAAATGACTTAAATATTGATGGTGATGAACATTTTAAGATAAGAATTTTTTATTATTTTGTAAATAATGAAAATAAATGAACAATGAATGAGAGGTATCCGTTCCAAAGTAGTTTAATGCATGATACACATCACGTACATGACAAATTAAGCAAGTGAAAAAAATGTAAATAAGGAAAAGAAGAGCAAGTTTTAAAATTGAAGATAAATAAGAAATGTGGGTTGATGTTGAGGAATTTGATGGAAATGTTTGAATCTCATGTGCAATTTTAAGCCAAACTTCCTTAATCTAATTCCACAAAATTGATCCACAAACACATAAGTTTGTAAATATTGTAAACAAAAATAATGAAAATTATTTAGAACGAAAATTGAAGTAATATTAAAGATAATAACAATAAATTTACAATGATCAAAAAATATTTTGTTTTGAGTTTTTATGTCTGTACAGGTGCTGTTCGATGGAGATGAAGTTTCAATTGAAATTAAATTAAAGAATTTGTTGGAGACAGAAAAATAGAACGTTTTTCAGGAAATGAGATCGAAATTATTTGCAAACAGTTTCTGGTACTACCGTGGGTACGCTAGTGATCCCTGAATCGTTAATAAAGTAAAATGCTTTTTTTTGAGGGTTTAAATTGTCGTCTTCTTAGGGGCCGTTCACTAATGACGTCCATCAAAAAACATGATTTTAAAGACCCCCTTCCCCCCTCTGTCACAAAATTTATGTGAAAAATAATTTTCTTCATTTGAGCTGTCACAAAATTCTAGACCCCTCTCCCCCTCTAAATGTTGGACGTCATAAGTGAATGGTCCTTAGTCATATAGTTTATTTTTCATTTCGTATCTTAAATTCCTTAAAAACGTCACAAGTAACCTTAAAACAGTTATGAACCAGCTGAATAATTAAAGACAATTAGACCCAATTTTTTATATGAACAAAAAGTACATTGAATTATTTCATTTAAGTAAATTAACATGATCGAGATGAAATAAGTTGAGGCTGTAATGGTTTTTCTTGGCATCAAAAGCGTGTCTATTATTTTATATTATGATATTTGTTGAATTACAAGGTGAAGCACTGGTACTTAGTCTTGTTTGCCATTAAAAAACAAAGGTTCAAATCCCATCCAGATGCCGAAAAACTTAAATCTGATTTAAGCAACACTTAAGCAATCAACTACCCATTCCCTCCTTTCTGTCTTAACCAGCTTATGGAATTATCAATATTTTGCTGTCAGGCATTGTATCAAAAATGTAGAATGTTCCAGAACTGATCAAAATCATTAAAACCAGTCATTCAGTGATTCAACTTAAGAATGAAAAAAATTCGTTACAATTCTTTTAACATTTATAAATATTCAATCCGAATGTTCCTTCAAATGAGCATCAACATAAATCTACACAATTTTAAAACCTACAGCACACAACAGACCACATCATATATATTAAAAGGAACATCAAACCCCCATTCTTAAAAAATGCTCATATGTTAAAGCGCATCTAAAGAGGATTTGAGTAATAAACAAATTATTTAATAGTGCATAACGCGATCAAAAGAAAATGCACTGTCAATGGATTGCTAATTAAATACGGAAGCAGTTAACGAGTTGATGTGCAATTCATTTCACTTCTTTTTTCATCATCAAGATGCAGAGTGCGCGAGACAAAATTAGAAAAAAAATGAAAATCTTCAAAGACATTAAAGCCGGCCGACATGAGAAAGGAACAATGATTCGGTTAAGTGAATTATTTATGAACCGTTTATTCGTCATAGTCTTAAGAGAGTCGGTAACAAATGAAATGACACACAGAAGTTGAGATGAGAGTAGAAAACAAATTAATTGATCGTTATTTTGTGCCGTTCAAGTGGATTAGCTAAAGATTTATTTATTCCTTTCTCTCCCCTTCAAAATAAATTGTTTTCTATTATTTCATTTATTCGACTGTGTTACTGTGACGGGGACTCATCTTTATTTATAATTGGTATGCAATCATGGATATATGTGTGTATAGAAAAATCTATTGCTATTGTGAACTGAGATTTTTATTGAATTTGAGTCAAGGAAATGAGCCATTAACTCAAATTTGTCTAGTAAAATGTTTATTCTTATGACTGTCGGATTCACTTGGTTAAATTTTATATATTTTGTCGTCGCTTTAACGCTCAGCTTCAACAAAAACAGCCGATTTAACGCTCAGCTTCAACAGAATTGTTGATTCGACGCTCAGCTTCAATAAAAGCTGCTGATATAACGCTCAGCTTCGACAAAATTGTTGCTACAACGTTCAGCTTCAATAAAAAAATCGTTGATTTAACACTCAGCTTCAACAAAGTCGTCGCTTTAACGCTTAGCTTCAACAAAGTCGTTGCTTTAACGCTTAGCTTCGACAGAATCGTTGCTTCAATTCTCAAGTTCAATAAAGTTATAACTTTATTGCTCAGCGTCAACAAAATGGTAGCTTTAACGCTCAGCTTCAACAAAGTCGTTTCTTTAACGCTCAGCTACAAAAATCAGAGATTTAAGTTTTGTCTTTTCAGTGCTCTCAGTGCTTTAACAATCAGTTTCAACAAAATTATCTTTTTAACGCTCAGCTTCAACAAAAATGTCGCTTCAACGCTCAGCTTGACAAATAAATAAATAATATTGCGCCTCAGCTACAAAACAACCATAAAACACACTCGAGCTCTATTTTTTTGTCAACATAAAGTCATTGTATATATAATACGTAGTAGATATCTCATTTTTAGAGAGGTAATACATACACGACAAAAACAAATTTATGGTTCGCTGAAGTTAATCCAAATTTGCAACTCAATTCGATTTTCATAAATTTTTATTTATGTCATATATCCACAGTAGCACATAAAAAGCATAAAACACTCCCATGAGAGATCATTGTGCTTCATTATCGTTTATCGTTTATATTAAAAAACGTTTTATGTTTCATATTTATTATGAGGAGTGGCAGGATAAATTGTGATGTATAATATTATGTGGTTAAAGCAATTTCTGTTAAATGATCAGCTTTTGGATTTTTTTTTATTTCCATCCCTTTTCTTTCTTTTTGAGTCTCTCGCAGTTTTTTATGACCATATACACATGGATATATTGTGAATAATGATAACAGTTTGCAGCTCACATACAAAAAAGTGAACAAAATTTATCAAATGACATCATTAAAATTTCACCCTCGCTTTACTTTCAGCATGAAGATTTATATACAGAATATTTTTTTTTGTGCCGTACATTGAAAGGAAAGAGAATAATAATGATGGAAAAAATATCACAAAAGGAATATTTTCAAGCCATCCAGAGATTATTAACATTAACAGGTGAACGACAATCGAGGATTTATTCATGCTGAAAATGAGCAATTTATTGTCAACTTTCAGGTGGATTGTAGCTATGGTTTCAGATTATTATTGTGTCTATTCGAAATTGACTATTTAAATTGACATTTTAAATAATTTGAAAAAAATTGAGGACATGATTTTTGATACATTCTTAGCATGCATGCTTGATTTTCGTAGGAATAAAAAACCTTCAAAATAAGTTAATTTATCCCTTAGTCTAGTACTTTTCATGCAATACAGTTGTTGTTCAGTAATAAAATATCCACAAAATTTTAAAATTATTTTACAATATTCCATTTGTTTCTAATCGACGCACTAAAAGGTGTTTTTCAAGGAACAAACTGTGGTTGTATTGTCGATAATATGACGATATTCCAAATTTTTTTTCGACAACTGTATAAAAACTCATTTACTTCTAAAGACTGTTTCAGTAGTAAAATAAAATTTCAATAATCAACATGAATAAATATGTTTTAGTGACATTAGTCATACTGCTAGCAGTACAGGTAAGATACATCAGTTATAATTTATAAGTGACACGTACTCACATTTAAAATCCAAATTAAGGGACTTGATGCTCAATTTCTATCTGGAATAATTTCACTTTTCACTTCTGTTGGTGGATTTGTTTTCAACTCTGTCCTTAGTGTACCGTACACAATAATCAGTTTTGCAGCTACATTTACTGTGATTGTTTCAAATGCAACACTAGCTGTAAGTATTTTAAGTGATCCAACTTTGAAAAATCAACGTTCACTATGATTTTAAATAAAATTAATTAAATCCTCCCTAGACCTTATCACTTGCTAATGCCGGAGCCTACAATTCTCTGATCCGCATCAATAATTTTACAAACAACGTCAACAACATAACCAGCTACTATAATTCCCTTCTACAAGACCGATCCAACACAGCTACATTCTTTGGAAGAACAGTTGTTGGAAATTTATATGACGCAATTAATGGAATTGGATATACCACAAATGGATTGTCAGCGATTGTCATAGGATGTAGACCATCACAACCACCACCAATTTCCTACCTTAATACTTACTATCCACTACCTGATTCATGCTTAAGCACTACAAACTGTACAAATACGACTATTGCATGTGCAGCTAGAAACTTCATAAATTTGGCTCAATACCAAATTAATAACATCAATACTACAGCACTTTACCTTCAATGGCTAGCTGAAGATTTTGGAAGTAATGACACAATAAATGCAACAGTTGATGCAGAGATAATAATTGAACAGTGGGCAAATTTAAGTGCAATGGCGAGGTTTTATTTGACAGTCAACAGTCAAGGATCATTATTGACTTATGCTGATCCGAGTTTCAATGCAAATTTTACAGCAGTCATGAATCAAATGGTAACATTCATGAACAACATCAATGCAACCACAAGTGAGTTGCTGAACTCGACAAATATTCTGTATTTCAGTATTAATGACTTTGGACGATTACAGCGCTATCAAATTTTGAGTGAAATCTTTCAAAATAGAAGTAGACGCTGGGCTTACATCAATTCATTGATTGGTTACAATACATTCAGATCTAACGTAAATAATGCATTGACTTCTTTGAATAATACAGCATACCAATTTGTTCAAGCTATCAATGGAATCAGCCCTTCAGGTTATGTTTACAAAACAACCCAAACTCATAGTTCAGCATTCCAAAATCTTACGAGTCGATTAAATTCTTCACTATCGACATTCTTAACAGACTTGAATGCTAGAATTGAGGCAGTCGAACAGTCAAAATCAAACTTAATCTTGAACGCTACGCAAGCTTTAAATGGAACATTCAGTGACTTTATTGAATCAGTTTTGAATGATAATGTCACAGATTGCTTGAATTTTACTGCTCCTGCATCAGATGCTTATGCTGATTTTGCACTTGGCATTCAAGCTTGTGGACAAAATACAGACATAGACACTCAAACTATCAATACAAATGCAACGAGCATTTTTAATAATTTCATGTCCAGTGCCAGTGCATTTATGAATACGTCAAATAGTTGCTTCTCTTATGCATGTCAAGGAAATTTGGGATATCCATTCGCTACATACGGTGTAAGATGTGCCAACGATAACACATTTTTCCGTTGTACAACTTGGTTGCCTCCATTCTTCTACAATTGCCCTACAACCAAATCAAACTATTTGAACACATGCCTTAGTAATGTAAGTATTAAAGCTAAGCACATTTTTGGAGGATGCAATACTGGCATAAAATAAATTGACTTGTCCATTCCTTTCTTTACAGCTCAATACAGCCATAAACTCATTCGTCGCTAGTGCAGACTCATCAGTCAATAGTACTTTGAGTCTACTCAGGAGTTCCATCAATAGTGCTCTTACCGAATTGAATACTTGCATTAATAACCAAGTTAATGCCACAAACATTGCTTTAGATGCTATTTCTGCAGACTACAACAACTGTAAAACAAGTCAGGCTGCTTGATTTAAAAGTTAATAATTTTTAAAAGACCAAAAATAAATTGAATGTTAAATTTTTTTTAAAAGTTTTGATAAATAAAGATATGGAGCCGTTCACTTATGACGTCCATCAAAAAACACAATTGTTAAACCCAATTCCCCCTCAATCAAAAAACTGTTACAGATAATAATTCCTCCCCCCCCCCCCTCTTCTGTGACTTCAATCATAGACACAAACGAGATTTAATCTAGAAGCCGACGATTATGATCTATTTTATGCTGGGTTATAAGTCCAGAAACTATAAGTTCAGAGATTATAAGTCCAGAAAATCAAAGTCAATAAAGGTTTATAAGTCCAGATACAAATTGCTCCTGGACTTAAAAACCTCACGTGCAGTTCATAAGTCCAGGTGCAAATACAGCTGAAATTATAAACTGCAATTATAAAAATTTGAAGCTTAGAGGAACAAAATCTCTCGAAAAAACCATGTATGAATATAGAGAACAATATAATGTGAATGATATCAATAGCTGCTGTACAAGTATTTCAATGACAGCTCAAAATCCTTTTCCTGATTCATTGCGAAGTACTGACTTTAGTCCGATCATTCAATCTGTTCAATCGAGTGTTGCTAATTTAAAAGCCAACTATACAAATCTAATCAATTCCTATACTAGCATAGCTATCAATTGTTTTAAAACTGCATGAGCAGGAAACACAATTTATCCATACTCATTATGGAAGCTTCAATGTGTCAATGAATTTTCGTTCACAAGTTTTTGTTGGACCAGTGAGACACCAATGAGCTTCAAACAATGTCCATCTGCGAAGGTTAAAATGCTCAATGCATGCTTGGATTATGTGCATTCACTAGTATCTAGTCTTCAACCATCAGCAGATTTGAATATGATTCTTGATGACACAAAACGTTCCTATGATGCACTTTTGGACGAATTCTCTGCTACTGTAGAGATAGTTTCAAGGTCTTTAATTGAAAAGTCTTTATGCATCTATACACGAATTTATTCTTCAATTGGTAGTATAAATAATAGCAATTTTACTAAGAATGTTCCTAATAATCTTACTAGTAACATAAATAGTAGCACTAATAGTGGTTTTACTGTTTACTAAATTGTACATTGATTCCATAAAAAGCTAGTTTTATCACAATGATCGATTAACAATAAAAAATATGAAACTTGTTAAAAATTCAATATATTTTGATGGATCAGATGTTCAATTAAAGTTGTTTAAAGAAGTCTCATTTCTTTTTTTTAACCAAGCCGACAAACAGCTTAAGTGACTCAATGATGTTTTGTATTTTAGTACTAAATCCTTGAGACACCCACACAGGTAATTTATGAGTTCGTAACTCGACATTAAACATATTTTACAAAGATCACGGAGTTTAGGGATTGGTCTAAATGCAAATTTGCCACGAATCCCAACTTGTCAGGCTTTCAGCTTATTTTCAGATCACATTAGTTCTTCCTCTTCCTTTAAACACTAGATGGTGCATATAAATGAGTCACAGCATACAACAATGAAAATTGCTGATTTTTTATTCATCTATATCTTGTACCAAAAAGGCAGTGCAATTTAACCATCTTAATTTATGTGTACCTATATTCTTCTGGCCTCTTGCACGAAAGCATAAAGCAAATTGGTAATGAATAATTGAGGAAGTCATAAAGAAGCAAAAAAATCGTGTAATGAGAAAAAAGGCAGAAAATGAGATTTTCTGCAAGCTCAATAAAGTCGAGCAATTTTTTTAATTTCTGGTTAAATTAAAGTATAAATTATGCAATGCCTAACAAAAAACCTAATTATGATTTCCCCACTGGGCATTAATTTTCTTTTTCATTTTTCTCGTCTGCTCGAAGGTGCTTCTGGGCGAGAACGAAGAAAATTAGGGGTTGAAAATAAAATGAATGCAATATTGAGACTGACACTTTCTGTGGTCGAGGTTGAGTCGTATAAATTTGTTCTCATCAAAATATCTCTACAAACTTTATGGCTGTTGCTACATAAATTACTTTGGGAAATCTTTTACTACTTTTTTTAATGAATCGGTTGCTGCCTTTTATAAATGAACAAGATTTTCTGTAAAATTATGTTGAAAAATGTATGGATTTTTATGGTGTAAAAATAGGTAGTCATGCTGTAAAAATGACATCAAATTTGTTGATTAATCAAAAAAGGGTTAGAGGTTAGGCTGTTTAAAGTAATTGGGTGTTTCCTTAAAATTCTCAAATTTCAATTATTATTTATTTCGTATGGCATATGATGTAAAAACTCTATGATAGTCATGGGCAATCTATGTGCTGCAGCATACTAGTGTTCTGCGAATAAATTGTGGTTCTGTTCATGGCTTACCAAAAAGATGTGCCGTGTCACAAAAAGGTTGACCATCACTGCTCTATGTTATGCTATATATGCACATTTAGATTTTTTATTGCCTTGAAATAGTTCTTAAAACATAGAAACCTGCACTGGCGGGTATTTAGAAAAGGAATAAGGATATTATAGGGATAGGAATAAATTAGGGATATGGTTTGAGGAGAGATTCAATAGGGAAGGAGTAGGTTTGCGATAAATATAGGGCCAGTAGTAGGGTAGGACTAGTAATAAGGTAGCAGGTTTTTGATTAGGATAGAATAGAGGTAGAAACCAGAGGGCGAAGTCGACTCGAAATTTGTATGAAGTCGAGTGAACTCAAGTCGACTTTTCCATACAAAATCCGAGTCGACTTCGCCCTCTGGTAGAAACTAGTAATCTTCATCGATGACAACTATCCAAAATCTTACAACTGATCAGGATAACTAGTCATTAACCGAACTCTAGTGATCAAGATACTCATTGATATAGTTCACAAGCATTCTTTAAAAATCCCTATTCATATCTTAAAATAAATCAAGATCATTAATTCAAAATTCACATTTCAGTGATTCCTCCAGCAACTCTTGATTCCTGTCATGCCATTAAAATATCTCTCATATCACACTAGATTTCACAAATCGGCATTAAAATTTTTTAATTGAATAAACTTGTGATTTAATTTTTTCAGTTGGTCAACGATTATTTCTCTCATTTTAATATCCTTCCCTCAATTGGATGGTATTTTAATGACAATGATTTAATGGAAAAAAGATTTTCACCCTCGGAGCTATAAAAATTTAAAATTCCTTTTTATTCTCGCCTTATAGCGACTGCTACACTAAAGGAAAATGAGGAAAAATCTTTTTAAATTTTCATTTTACTAAGCCACAGTCACATATGATGATTTTCTCAGACTAACTAGGAATCTGCGACTCATACATTTGTGTATTATGCTTTCCACACAGAAAAAAAATGTAGAGCTGCTGAGTTAAGTTGAGAAAAAAATTAGATTTGTAATGCGAACATTACAAATAATGTGAAAAAAGTGCTATTGCAGCACATTGATATGTGTTAAGGGGATTTAATTTAAATTTTTAATGTGGCTTATAATAAAATTGAAGTAGTGTTGTTCAGTGCTGGATGATGTGTTTTGTGAAATTTCGACACTTAGATGGTGTTTCAAGTTCTAAGCCACTGTCTTATGCAAGATCAGATTAGTCTAACACAGTCTCATAGTTATATCACATGCACAGGATAGGACTGCGTGAGCCTATCCCGAAGTGTACTGCCATATAGCACAATGCAAGCTCACCAAGATCTAATACTAACATGATCCAGAATCCCTGACAAAACGGCTCCAGAAAACCATAAAATTGATGACTCAAACTCACTTAAAATATTAAAAAATCATAAGAGTTTTTCTTATAAAATTCAATTTCCATCTTCTTCATACTCCTTTATTTCTCAAGAAAGTTGAAGATGATGCAGAAGAATAAACATACAAAATGAATAAAATATCAATTACTAAATTGCAATTCGATGAAAAAAATATTCAACTACTGGATAGGAAAAGGAACGAGAATGATGAGCTTGCAAGCAAAATACAAACATGAAGAAAAAGCGGAAAAAACATTAAAAGATTAACGTTAAATATTTATAAGAATTGTTTTATGAGGAAATTGAGATGATTTTAAGCTTTATGGCATTTTATTTTGTTTCAAATACATTATGGAAAAGAGTCAATAAATGTAATCAGCACTTTTTATTCTGAATGGAGATGATACGTAATGGAAGTAAAGTGAAATGAAGATTTTGTAATGAACAGGAATTGATGGAGAGTAATAAGATGCTGATATTGATTTTTTTTATCCGTTAGAATTTCGAATTTGTAAATTTTGGCGGGAAATTATTATTTACTTTCTCACTTCGAATGTTTGTTTATTAAATTTCAGCTTATTTTTACAGTTTGTGGCTCTTAAAGTTAATGAAATGAAAGAAAACAAGTGAGCAAAACCATTTTACTATAAATTTGAGCTAATTCAGTCTTAAATGAGTTAATTTGGCTATTTTTGTTTTCAAAAACCAAAAACACGTGACAAAAATTACTTTTCTACAGAATCCGCTTTATTAGCTCTTACCTGATACGATTTGTCTGTCTGTCATACATAATTCGAGGTTTCATACCCTGCAGTTCGAAATTTTCAAAAATTAGGAAAAATCAATAAACTTAAATTAAGCAAGATTATGTGAAATTTAGATGAAAATATTATGTAATTATTTAATAATATGCATAATATAGCTAAATCTTTTTTAAAACCATCAAAAACTCTCCTAAAATGAAAAATTGTAACGGTTATATCAAATTTAAACTTTTCGAACGTGCATATTATAACTCCCCTAGACTTTCGATAAGTCTGTCGAACTGTGTCGAACATGAATTGTTCGTATAAGTCTCTTACATCATAAAAGTATGCAGAAAATCTTTCACAAAGTAAACAACAATAACAAAAATACACAAATTTACATCCACAAATAAAAGACAAGATAATTTAATTGCCCGACTACATAAAAACCTCAATGGAATTTCAAGGAAAAATGCAAACAGAATTACAAAGCAATAAAAAAGTTCCATCCAATTTCCATTATCATTATTACTACACAGCAAACTTAAATTACAGAAAATTAAATGACAGCAAAAAAAAATAAAAACGATGCACTGTGAGAGAAATGGAACTGAATTCATTGTTTGTGTTAAAAACACATTTAGTACTAAATGAAAGGGTTGAATAAAAATTAAACAACAATTAAGATTCCAAAAGCATGATTTTGCAGCATTTTGTTAACGAGTCAGAAATTG